CCAGGTGTAGCTGGTCCAGGTGTAGCTGGTCTAGTTGTAGCAGATCAGAACCTCCTCCTGATGTTTCTGAATCATCCTCTTTGATGAAGGGTCAGTTTATCTTAACTTCTCTTAACCTGGTTAACTAGTTGCTCCTCAGTAAGACATTCACTCCAACCGACTGTCAGCCAGCTGAGCAACAGCATCAGGCCCGTCTCTAGAAACCAACACAGAAGTTCTGGTCTGTGAATGCACCCGGACGGCGGCGGTTCCCTCGGTGACGGCGGCCTCCAGGTGAGCTGTACCTGCAGGTGTGCTAGCAGCTACGTGCCTCCTGAAGGTCAGCTGCATTAAAGCAGTTTTATCTTTACGAGCTGTTGAAGCAGCTGATAAACGGGTCCCCGCTCAGATCGGATCAGCGCCGCTCCGACTCTTATCAGCACCGCCGTGAAGGACGTCGACACCTCGTCACCTGATCCAGCACGGTGACGCCCACAGAGAGGAACCGGTCCAAACCCGGCCGACCTCACTTCCTCCAGACGCTTCCTGGTTCCAGCCTCCAGAGCTCTGCTGACGCTGCAGCCTCCAGTGATGAGGCAGCACAAAGACCCGCAGAACCCGCTTCACATCTCAGACCGGAGGCTGTCGGTGGCGCCGTGTCTCTCTGAGGACAGCGCCAGGCGGCCGGGTCCCCAGCGGTTGAACCCAAATGATTTGTTCCATGACAAAAAGACTCAAAGCTACGCCTCCATTTATTGGACTGAGATAAAAATCTCTCAGAGTCCCGGTAAAACGGGTTCCTGCTCACCACAGGATAGACCGGTTCTACTGTGGACGCTCCACAAGCCGCCCTAAGCCAAGTGTGATCTCATGTCTGTCACGTGATACCAGTCTGAACACAAATGGTAGACGCACTGATCCCGACTGACGGGTCAGCCTCTGGGGATCATGAACGTTTACCAGAAACATCACCAGTACGGGCATTAAGGTCCATCCTCTGGGACCACAAACGTCTGCACTGTGCTGGTTCCCAGTCCATGTGGAGGTGTTCTACTGGTGTGAACGAGGTACAGCCAGGGATTCATCCTCTGGTGACAACGACTGTCTGAAGCAAACACAGCGCCGATCCTCTACTGGTCAACCCAGTTCAGTCTGGACCAACACCTGAACCAAGTGTCTGAGCAACCCGTCTGCCGGTAACACCGACTACAATAGAAATCAGCTGATCATTCATCCTTTGGGGACCACAAATGTCTACACGTAGTTTTTTTCCCGGTTGATCCAGCAGATCTGAGGATGTGTCGCTGGTTAAGAGTCAGAGCGAGAGGAAACCTCAGGGGATTCTGAAGGTTCCTCACACTCATCCTCTGGTGACCACGAACGCCTGCAGCTCATACAACAGCAGCTGGATATCTGTCAGCCAGCTTCAGGAGGGACAGACGTGTCAGATGGATGACTGTTCCTGAAACTGAACCTCCTCCACCAGCCAATCAGGAGGCTCGTCCTCATGAATATTAATGAGTTTACGGGGCCACACTGCAGAAAGAAAGTCGCTAACGAGGCTAAAAAACGTCCGATTTGGAAGATTTAAAACGTGAGAACCACCACAGGACCTTCTAGACTGGACTGACTGAATGAAGCAGGACTTCTGGATGTTCTCTCAGCAGAAACGAGGCTCAACATGAAATAAATGAGAAGCAGAAGGAAGAGAGGAGCTCGCTGCAGCCTCCACTTCCTGCTCTGAACCGTCACACCTCGATCCTCTCCAGCGCTCCTCCTACACGTTCAGGGGTTTTCTGCACAGTTACGACTCTGCTGCTAAATAAGGAAGAAGGTGTGTGAGAACAGGAACCGATGTGCGCGTGAAGCCGGTAGAGGAGCGATTACGACACAGGAATGTGAGAGCACGAGCCCCGAGGCTGCAGCGCCACGCCCAGCGTCTGAGCAGGTCTGGAGGCGGCTCCTCATGAGCCGTGAAGGTATTCACGCCCTGGAGGCCGGCTGGACCTTCTGAGCAGGACCGAGCCGCGGTACTGTCTGATGGTAAAGGTGCTGCTGGTGTTCCACCTTGTAGAAACTCAGGAGAGCAAAGCAGATTACGCAATGAGCTGCCACAGCGTGAAGCGCTCTGGCAGCCGGCGGCTCAAGGCCAGTGGGTGACAGAGCACCGAGTCTTAAAGGATTAGTGTCCTGCCAAGTCAAGCTGAGGCCACGCAGGCTGTTAACAGGGAAAAGCCGCACATTACACAATGAACCTGCTCTTTACCTGTGCACATGCTCTTGAAGTCCTCGTAGTCGGTCCCTTGTCCTGCGGCCACGATGGTGGAGCCCTCGTACTTGAACACAGCCCTGCAAGATGCACAGCGTCAGAACCGCAGCAATCTGCATGATGTGCACACAAGAAGCATTCTGCGAAGCCGCCTGCAGCCTGGAGCAGCGCCTGAGCCGCCCATGCAGGGTGGCAGCTGTGTGTCAGCCATGTGTGAGGGTCCCCACCACAACGTTATCCTCTCTGAATACAGGACAAAGGAAATTACTTCTGCCCCGCTGGGCCTGATAACTGTGCAGTGTGACCGCTCAGCAGCCAGAATACAGATCAGCCACAGCACAGAGCAAAGCTGCGTGTCTTTTAGCCAGTTTTACTGTAAGCACAGGAGCTGCAAGCTGGGATTTAGCTGGGAAACAATTCACAATGTGCCATTGTAGCGCCTTTTCATTGTGTGCAGGTGAAACTGCATTGAAATATTTAGCATTTTAAAGTTATCCTGCCTAAATGAATAAATACATGAGACTCACAATACAGTGAATCATATTTTCTTATTCTTTGGTAATCTATCTTCAATTCGGCGTGTATCCACTTAGCAAAACTGTGCTGATTTAAATAAAATATAAACTTTAATAAAAAAGATCCGCCTCTCTCTCGGCGCCCTTCTCCACCGAAAAGACGGCTCAGTGGGCGGTAACGGGCTCCGTGAATTACACTCCCAAGTCAGATTAGGGGAAATTAATAAAATGTTTGGTGGATTAATTTGCTGCCGAAATAAATCTTGGCTCAGAGGAACTCGAGCACGATAGTAATGTATCTGTATGGCACCTTATATTTCTCAATTTTGTGAAAAATGTAAAATAGCCACATTTGTAAACGGAGTTCGGCGGAGTGCGAGTCCCGCGCACTCACCAGTTGGTGTCCGTGTTGTCGTCCCGGACCTGGTTGTACGCCTCCCTGCAAGCCTCCTTATCGATCTGGGTTGCCATGTTCGGGCGGACGGCGAGTCGAGCGCTCAGAGTGTTCGTTCAAAGCGGCAGCTAACCGGAGATAAAGCAGCTAACGAGTCCAGGTGATGCTGCACATCCGACGGCTACAGCCGGAACGGTAACGAGCGGGTTCTGGGGAAATCACGACCACCGCGCGGGAGCGATGGAGCCGGTCGGAGTCACGGAGCAGACGGTTCTCCTCTAGCAGCTCATTTCCTGTATATTAGCGGTTTATGGGCGGTGGTGATGTTCGTCTGGCAGCAGCAGAGCTTCGAGTCCCCCAGACGCTGCTCGCCTCCTCCCTGCGGACGGTCAGTGAGCGGGAGGCCGCCGTCAGCAGCCGCAGCGCGCGGCGGCGGTTCCGGTGGCGTCCTTCAAAATAAAGGCAGCACAGCAGCACCGGCCTTAGAACATCGGAGGGATAAATGTGATCAGGTTCTTTAGACGTCCTACCGCAACGCTAGAGATCATGCCATTTTTATTTAGGTAGCGTTAGCAAGGACTAGAAGAGGAGTAGAAAACAACTATACATTTATTTTACTTAGTACCATAAAAATATTTGTCTTTTTCTTTTCTTCTTCTCCACAGAACAAGAACTACAAAACAAAGGGACTGACCCTCAGCTAGTTTAGAGAATGTAAAGTACATTTTCATCATGTAAATTAATGGACGTATATATACTGTACCTTCACCAAGACAACATATTATAGCAATGTGTTTGGTTTTTAGTTGAGTTCTTTTACAAAAAAAAGGAAATATTACAATGGGCTGCAGGGTGGCGCAGTTGGTAGGACTGTTGTCTCGCAGCAAGAAGGTTGCCGGTTTGTGTCCCAGTGGGGCATGTTCTCCCCGTGCAGCGTGGGTTCTCTCCGCGTTCTCAGGCTTCCCCCCACACAGTCCAGAAACATGCTGAGGTTAATTGGTGATTGTAAATTGTCCGTAGGTGTGAATGTGAGTGTGCTTGGTTGTCTGTCTCTAAGTGTAGCCCTGTGATAGACTGGTTACCTGTCCAGGTGAACCTGCCTTCACCCTGAGTCAGCTGGGATAGGCTCCGCCCCCCATGACCCTAGTGATAATGTATAGAAAATGGATGGATGGAAATATTACAATAAAACAATGTCAGAGCGCCCCAGCTAGCTACAACTGATGGAATATTTCTGGCTCCTGAACTAATAAAATATCCACGTAAATGCATTTTTAAAAATGAAATAAAATTCTAAATATAGAAATAACTAGATCACAGAAAAACATGTCGTTGTTGTTTTTATTTGTTTTTGTTTACAAATAGTAGAAAACACTCCAGTTATGAAAAATCAAAATGAAGATGTAAAAAGTATTACACTCAGAAAATTGTGATTTCTTTTATTTTTTGGAAAAAAAAAAGAAACAAAATCAGTCCAAGAACCACAAAACAAAAAATACTGAATTCAAGCTAGCTATGGCTAGTTAGCATTCACCTGTTGGTCAGTTTGTGATGTTTTTGTTCAACTAAATATTGCTAGCGTGCCATAAAAGTTATCACATCATAGAAATGTGTGTTTTTTGAGAACATAATAAAACACACACACACAGTAGAAGAACTATGAAACATTATCACCTAAGCTAGTTCAGGCTAGTTAGCTTACAGTCTGTGCTGGTGAGACACATTTCGCTGAACCCAATTTAGAAACTTTTCCTTGTTTCTTGGAATTTCTCCTCCAATGTTTAAGGTGTAAACCCGTTTGTAAATCACATAGATAAAACAACAAAAACAAAACTACCCTTCTATTAGCTAACTAGCTAATGGCTAGCTAGTCCACTGTGCTAGCTAGCAGCTACTGTGCCTACCTTAGCAGAGTAGCTTCTGATTCTAGTGGATTTCATGCGACTGTTGCTGTCACATCATTTATTGTTTAATTCATGATTAATTCATTATTTTAAAGACAAAAGCTTCGTCTTAAATCAAACCGTATAAAGAAAAGCAACACAACTATTTTCTTTTAGCTCAGTAGCTAACCGGCTGAGCTCAGCAGAGCGCTCCAGTACTTCAACGTATTTCATGTGATATTCTGATGTTCAGCTGCACTTAAATCACAGGTTTTAATGTATTAAATTCATGAATAATTTTGTAATTTCTGAGCTCAGATTGCACGTCAGTTTCGTTTTTCATAAAATGTTGAAAACTTCAAGCCACCGTCATTTCTCAGCACATTAAAGCTGCAGCCAGTGAGCGAACGTTCAAGTTTAAGTATTAAAGCCAAGACCCTACAATGCCATATAAAATACAAATTAACTGGACTAATTGAAGTGTTAATATCCTGCAATATTACATAAAGAACAACCTCACCTGACTGAGCTAAATGTCAACGTGGAGATCCGATATTAAACATCCATTGGTCATGTGTCAGCTATGGTTTTATTCTGAAGGCAAAGCAATCAACTTCCTGTTTTTATTTCACTAAATCGTCTAGCTTCACACACCTTGATTTCGTTTTCACAGTTTTATTGTAACTGATTTTAAATATATGTCAGTGAATTTAAAACACTTAAATCAAGCAGGAGACACACAAAGTTACTGAAAATCAAACCTGCTGTGAATGATCAATAAAACACAAACCGGTGCAGCTTCTTAAATGTTCACAAACATTAGAGTCGGTCTGCGTGTCTGATTCAGGGTTGAGGTGTGGCATTGCACAGAGGTCAGAGGTCACGTCTGTCCTCTGAATCATTGATGAGACCCTGAGGATGACCAGCGCCTCCTGATCCGTCGCTACGGTTACTGCAGCATCCTGCCACCTGCTGGTCCGACACCACATCCACCTGAGGCCGAGCTGGAGCTGTCTGTGTTTCTGTGCAGTGTCTCATGTGTCTTGTTTCGGTGTTCTTGTGTGTCCATGTTGTGCCTTTTATATCTGCTTTATGTCTGTGTGTGTTCACTGTGTGTGTCTTTGTGACCGTTTGGTTTCTCTGCTGTTGTCTTGTGTCTGTTTTGCATGGTGTGATCGTTTCATGTCTCAGACGTTGTCGGGCATCTCTTGTCGTAATCTTGTGTCTCTTTGTGCTTGTTTTGCTGTTTATATGATTGTTCTTTGTCTCTTTGCATCTCCTTGTTGTAGTTTTGCGTCTGCTTGGCGTCATTTCGTGTCTTTGTGTTTGTTTCTTGCAGCAGTTGGGTTTGCAGCAGTTCTTGTGCGGCGTCAGAGCTCGCAGATGGCCTTTAGGAGCACCTCCAGATGTTCTGGTTCGTCTTCTACCTTCACAGCTTCAGCCTGCTGCCTGATGATCCACCTCCAGAACCAGACACTCTCCACGCCACCTGATCCAGTGGTTCTGGTTTTAGTGATTTATACTCAGAGGAGCTGCTCTCACAGGATAACAAACAGATGTAACAGCAGCAGCAGGTGGTGGCTCAGTGTGTCCAGTTTCTGCTTCAGTGGAGACGACAGCAGCAGCTGAACCTCAGTTTGATGTTCTGGCATCAGGAGACTCACAGAGGAAGCTGAGGCTGTGTCCAGTCCGACCCGATGTTTCCACTACGAGCTGCTGAAGTGTGAATGTGTGACCTGAACGTGTGAGAGTTTACTGTTGCTGCAGCAGCAGGCTGAACAGCGCCACCTGCTGCTACTGCTGGACACGGAGGACGTCCCTCCAAACCCAACAGTACGCGTCTGCAGAGCCAGAATTTTGATCCAAGGACGGATCCACACAAAATACCGCTTCATGTCCAAGTAGCGATAATTCTAAACTTTTTTTCCATCCAAATAGTGCTTTTGAACCAACAAGTTAAGGTTTGAAAGGTTTATTCCACCAAAATACGACTTATGACAATAATAACTGGTTGCTGAGACTTTAAGAATATCCATCTATCTATC